TAATTTATGTGATATTAAAATCTATGTATTTAATATGTGTAATGATGGAATTCATAATTAAAACACTCCCATAACTTAGACTTTTGTACATGTATGCTATAAAATTTTATTCAAAAGGAACCAATTTGGCTATCAAAACCACAAAATGTCATATCTAACAAATAGGCTATTTACATATGATGATTTAAATGGAAGTCTGAAACCTTGCATTAAAACCTGACAAAATCACTTTAAATTAAGGACTGTATCTCCCTCATACATAGCTCTGGTTCCATGTCTGGGTTTGACTATACTTTGTTCTTTTTTGGTTTTAACAGCTCTTCAATGTTTGTATTAGGTTTTTGTATGTTCACATATTTAGGCCTGAAGCATCACTGATGAAACATTAATCATCAAAATGCACATCTGCCAGGTGTTGTAAGACTTGTACCGTAAATTTTATTACAAACGTTTGCATTTACCACAGTCAGAGAATTCACCTTTTCAGAATCTTAAGGACTATAAAATTAGTTATTTCATTTGTTGTACCCCAAAACAAAAATAATGACATGTCATTGGTTGAATTTCAATTGTTTAGGACATTATTTGCCAATCACAATGTTTGGGTTTATGCTCATAAAATATAGATAGAACAAATAAAATGAAAAAAAATATTGAGTGAAATTAAGTTATCAATAGATTTGCTGGATGTAGTGCATCACTAGTACAATGTATTACCATATTGAGGATTACATTATCTCATTAAATGTGATGTCATTGTCTTGATGGGCCCACAATCACAATTATGGTACAATGCTATATAATTCTTTACATTTTTTAAATTAAGAAAAACAGTGGTTTCTTCAAAATATTTTTTCTATTCAAGACGAACATATCCAATTTTTATGAAAATTGACCATACACAACTCCTATATGAACCATTAAATCCTACACTATCACAGAAACTGAATATTTTGAAATATTTACACTTTGCATGCATACTCACTTTTTCCACATGGCTTTTCACAAATCCTTTTCAGCTCATCTGGTCCAAAGTGCAAAGTGAACTTTTCACATCACTTGGCATCCGCTGTCTGTCGTCATTGTCTGTTAACTTTCATAAAAATCTTCTCCTCTGAAACTACTAGGCCAAATTTAACCAAACTTGTCCACAATCAGTATTGGGGTATCTAGTTTGAAAAATGTGTATGATAACTCTGCCTGCCAACCAACATGGTTTTGTTTATCATCTTGAAAACTGCTATAGGTATAGAAAATCTGATAGAGACAGAAATGTTCAGAATGTTTATAATTATTGTCCATTTACATCAAAACTGTCAGATGACTTCTTATAGAAGTTATTGCCTTTAAATGAAAAATTTTACCATATTAATTTTCAATTTTTAATATTATCTTGAAAACTATAAAAGATATAAAAACTTTATATAGCAGAAATGATAAGCAGGACAAGATCTACAAATAAGTCTACAAGACTAAATTTCGTCAGTAAACTCCTTATAGGAGTTATTGCTCTTTAAAGATGATTTTTACCAATTTTTGCATTTTTGCCTTTATAATTATCTTGAAAACTAAAATAGATTGATAGACACTTCAAATAGCAAAAATGGTCAACAAGAAAAGATCAACAAATAAGTCAACTAGGTGGAAATCATCAGTTGACTCCTTATTGCAGTTATTGCTCCTTAATAAAGATTTTTACCAAGTTTTTGCATTTTTGCCTATTATCTTGAAAATTATAAAAGACAGATAGACACTTTTAATATCAAAAAGGAAAAAAATTATCAGCAAGACAAGATCTGCAAATAGGTCAGCATAGATGAAATTGTCTTATAGTAGTTATTGCCCATTGTGATTTGGGCAAAAACTGTGGAAGAAAAAGGAAAAATGATCAGCAATACAAGAACAACAAAAAAGAGATTTAAGTCAAGAATTATATTCTAGTCTACAATGTTGGAGAGTGTCCATTGTTGCATTTTTGCTAGCCAAGGGTAGGGACTGGATCATAACCCTTGGCTAGCAAAGATGTCATTGTTAAAGATGCACATAGACCTAGGTGAGCAACACAGGCTCTTTAGAGCCTTTAGTTTTCTAGTTTTTTATTAAACCTGTTCTATTATGTACATACAATTAAAAAACACATAGTAATATTGTTTTCACTTAAAAATTGAGGAAATAGTCAGAAGAAAGGTAAGCCAAAGGATGATAATTACGATCCTTAGTTTGATGATCTTGGTACATTTATTGGTACAGATTATTGTTGTTGGGGTCATAGAAAACCGGGCATTCGTCCGTCCATTCGTCTGGTCTTTGAAACTTTTCATAGTTTACATGTATTAGTTTGTGATTAGGTCAATTTATGGGGAACCACTAGTGGTAGGTCAGTGATATTTGGTATGCAGTTGTATTAGCATTGGCATATCTCATTTCCATGGAGATTATTTGGCTCCGCCCCCTTCGTCATGGTCTATACACTTTGAAAATTTTGCTAAGTTAACATGTATTAGTTTGTGATTAGGTCAGTTCAAGGAGAACCATTAGTGGTAGGCCAATGTTAATTGGTGTTCAGTTGTATAAGCATTAGCACATCTCATTTCCATGGAGAATATTTGGCCCCGCCCTCTCAGTCATGGTCTATTTACTTTGAAACTTTTGCTTAGTTTACATGTATTAGTTTGTGATTAGATCAGTTTAAGATGAACTGCTAATGTTAAGTCAATGATATTTGGTATGCAAATTTATTGGCATTTGCAAGTATCGTTTCCATGGAGATTATATAGCCCCACCCCTGATCATGATTCATTGACTTTGAAACTTTTACATAGTTTACAAGTTAATGTTTGTTTTTAGGTTTGTTTAAAGGGAACGACTTATAATAAGTCAATGGTATTTGGTATGCAGTTGTATTAGCATTGGCACATCTCATTCCATGGAGATTATGTTTAGCCATGTACCTTCAGTCATGGTTCATCGACTTTGAATATTTGCATAACTTACATGTTAAAGTATTGCTATTTTAATTTCAACATTTGCATTATCAAAATTACAAAAAGGCGAGACATATCTCTGTGATAACAGTTTATTATGAAACTTATATCATAGGTTTATATCAGCAATGTCTTTGACACTTTCGAAAATAAGTGCTGATCAAACATTTTCAACGAGTTATGCCCCTTGGAAATATTAATTATAATGGAAATCACATTGCATTTGCTCTGAAGCCTTCATTTCTTTAAGATATTTATAGATTGTTTTAAAGAACAATAACAAAAGTGTTTTTTTAGTTGTTGCCCTTGTACCTTGGATAGATAAAATATGTGCAACTTGGGGGATATTGGAACTCTGTTCTTTTATTTTGTTAGGAACCTTATTGGCAATGTTTTCATAAGATTTAATATGATTTCAAATGAAAGGCTAGTCAATTTTCATTTTTATAAACTTGTGAGCTTAGTTTGGGTTGTTGAATGTCAAATACAGCAAATTCATGCTCTCAGTCTTATTAGTCCAAGGTTGACTTATTGCTTTAGTCTCAATTTCCCTTAGTTCTTGTTATTCTCTTTAGACAAATTTGTTGTGGCTAGGACTGCAATTTCTTAAAGTTCTTGCAGCATGATAGCAGTAGAGAGTGGTATGTTTTTCAGTCAGTGGGTCCTTCTGTCTATCCCATGACAGGTTAAAGTTTTGAGTTTGTGGTCATATCAACTTAAAACTTAGTACACAATGTTCATTATGAAGTTAACTATTTAATATATATGCAAAATTCAGGGTTTTGACCCAAATTTCACAGGTCACTGAACATGGATATGTATTAAGTTCAAATTTTAGTTTAAGGTAGGTCAAATGTTGATAGTTTGTGGTCACATTAACTAGAAACTTAGTAGTTAGTACACATGTTCATTATGAAGAGAAAACTTAGTAGTTAGTACACATGTTCATTATTAAGAGAACTGATCAAAATCATGTTTTGCCCCCAATTTCAATGTTCACCGAATATGGAAATGTGATAGAGATTGCCATTGTGTCTTATGGACACATTTTGTTAAACCCCTTGCTAGGAAGTATCTGAGGGAATATAGTTGTTGACCAGTCAGTCTGTCAGTCATTTTAGTCTTCCAAATGCTTACTCAAATACTTAATATTGGATTGCTACCTTACTTTTATATATTGTCACCTACAATTAGAGGAAGTATTTTAGCGATTTTGAGGTCACCATGTCAAAGGTCAAGGTCATAGTTACTAAAAAATAGACTGAAATAAGTGCAACAGAGTGGATTCCAGATACTACATATGGGATTGCAACCTTTACCTAGATAAAGGTCTACCATCAACTTCTATGTCCTAAGTCAAAACACCAAACACATGATATGAACAAAGAGAACTGGTTCCCTGGAACAGCAGCTTTAACATTTTGGGAATAGTTGTAATAATGTTCAATCCTCCACCCTTTTTTATTTTGATCAGTGACACAGATACAGAAAAAAATTCATTATAAGAATCAGGTCACAGAAGGAATTAACTCTATGTATGTCTGTATAAAAGACAACTAAACAAAGCTACAAGTATAGCAATACTTCAATACAATCCACATAAGTTCTTTTGTTAGTTACACTTTAGGGTATTTAGCTGAATTTTCTCCAAATGACACCAGATCACCATCTGGCGTCATGCAACAATCACTTTTTGGTTATGACAATCTTTGCAGGAACTTGTTTGACTATAAAAGTAATGGCTAAATGCATACAAGTGAAAATATGTCTATTGCAAAAAATATTTGAAAAAAAAACCTACAACTTATCGAGCATATATGCTTATCTTAAAAATAAACAATTTCAAGTTAATTATGGGTACATTTTGCCAAAGAAGCATATTTTCTTCTTTAAAAATACGATACAATTGCACCTAGTTCATCTGTATTCTATATGCTTGAAATGAATCTACAAATTAGAAGAAAAATATTGAAAAATTTTAATTTATATTGCATTGTTTCTCTTGTTTTCTTTCAGTGCTGGTTTTATGATATTTTATGACTTTGTACTGAACTTGGACCCACGGACCACAGCATGTCGATTGATAGTGGGTCTGCACGGTACAGGTCAGTCCATAGGAGAACCTACAGTCCTTCCTACTGTTTACACAGAACCTGCCACTAGAGCAGTGGGCCCTTCGGGTGGTGCCAATGCTGTAATAGGAGCCAGACAGCCTGTACCCAAGTAAGTATCACAGTGGGCCCTTCAGGTGGTGCCAATGCTGTAATAGGAGCCAGACAGCCTGTACCCAAGTAAGTATCACAGTGGGCACTTCAGGTGGCGCCAATGCTGTAATAGGAGCCAGACAGCCTGTACCCAAGTAAGTATCACAGTGGGCACTTCAGGTGGTGCCAATGCTGTAATAGGAGCCAGACAGCCTGTACCCAAGTAAGTATCACAGTGGGCCCTTCAGGTGGTGCCAATGCTGTAATAGGAGCCAGACAGCCTGTACCCAAGTAAGTATCACAGTGGGCACTTCAGGTGGCGCCAATGCTGTAATAGGAGCCAGACAGCCTGTACCCAAGTAAGTATCACAGTGGGCCCTTCAGGTGGTGCCAATGCTGTAATAGGAGCCAGACAGCCTGTACCCAAGTAAGTATCACAGTGGGTTATTCTTTATTGAGTGTATTCAGAACATTTCTTCTAATTGAGTGGAACAAAGCCTTAGTAAGTATTCCAGTCAATATGAATAGTTCTACCGTCAGTGTATACATACCTCACTGTAGAGCTATAAGTACAGGCAGAATGTCATCTCGGATTCATGGAAAAATATATATGCTGAATCCTGAATTCCCCCAAAATAAAGCATTCGTTCCCAGATCCTGAAAAAATTAATCATTAATTCCAAAGTCCAGATAAGTGTTAATCTTGAAATCCGGCTAAAATAAAGGCCAAATCCAAACTTCCTGAAAAAGGTCTTGCCACCCCTCATAGATAGGTTGACCTTAGTCATCATTCATATAAACATTAACAAATTTAATTATCTTGACATCAATTTTACACATAATGAAACCATTTATTTCTGTGTAAAAATTCAAATTTAAGCAAATTGAAACTGGCTCACATTCTTAAAATAAAGGAAAAAAATTGTAATAATGCTATAAATACAGCCAATTTCGTGTCAATAAAAGGTCCTCTAATTCCTAATTCTTGAGGGCACCCGCCTTACATCAAATCCTGGTTCCGTGCCTGGGAAGTCATAGAATGATTATATTTATAAAGTGAATGCATAAGGAGAGAAACTGATGTGTGCAGACCTTGGTGACCTTTATTTGATAATGTTCATTTTTAACATTGAGGGTAGGAGCATATAGAACAGTGCACATTTGAAAGGAATTCAATATCACAACTATATCTAGATGTAATAATAGAGACTATGGAGTTACAACTGTCCGTTTTGCATAAGTTAACACTATCAGTCTTATATATTTTAGATGCAGGTAAGTCTTGCTTGAGTTTACAATAAAGATAATATATATTTTCAGGTGTCCTGCTGACTCAGATTTAGGTGTTGTTGTAGAATTACAGTTGTCAGGTGGTCCTGCATCAGAATATGACAAACATAGTTTGATAACACGTGCCTGGGTTAAAGTGCCATTGTTTGATAATGATGCAAAATTGATAGCAGGAAAATTTAGGATACCATTTAGAAATGTACCAATCAAACCATTCCTACATGCTAGTGAACTACAGAAATTGGAAAAGGTTTGTCAGTTATCTCCCCTTAACTGTAGAAATAAAAATTACTCAGAATAAACTTATGGTAATCAGTTACAGAATTTATATTGAAAACATGAAAAAAACTTAATAATGAAACTAGGAAGTTGTGACTTCTTGTAATGACTTCCTATTCAGAGTTTTACCTTAAAGCAATCCATTGTATGCTAGAATGGATGTTGAGTATTTAACTTGTAATCACAGAAGATAGCAATATACATTGAAGGCAATAGAAAAAAAATAAATAACTGTAATATGAACAAAATATGAATTTAACACATCATACTGACTTTTATCCCCGGCTTGTATATTTCTCGGATTTTGATTGGCTAATGCAAGTCATTAAAAAAAACCTTAGCCGCGGGTGTTGCTAACCTATATACCAAGGCATTGCTACCCATTACCCTGGGGAACTTTGCGCATGTTTTCTCAAGTTCCATGGTTGTTCTCAATTAAATAATGATTTCTGTAGATTATCCATGATGTCTGTGATTACACATGTAATCCACTAACTATTCTATCCTATTATGCCGATCATTTGCATTCATTTTAGTAAATGCATTACTTGGCTGCCACATCGCCAATGAAACGACTACTAGCAGAGTTATGCAAATGACCTACGTTGATGTCACGCCGTCTTGCAACATTGAGTGCCAAATTGATTTATTCCCGTTTCTCTGTCTCTGGCTTAAAAACGTCTTATATTTCACTACCGGTAGGGTTCTACCAAAGGCAGTAAGTACCCTACACTCCGTAAAAAATATGTCAAATTTCCAAATTTCAATAAAATGTTTTTAATATTGTCTCTCCCAAGGTTGCAATGCTGAATTAAATTTATAATATATTATCAGTTTAACATGGTAAAGATATTGTCTATTTTAGTTTGACGACGCTGAGTTATATTATCGTATCGTCAACATGAGAGATTCTGAAGTTCAGTCATTATTGAATATATCTGCATCTAATCATCAACAATATAACCAACCCACCGTAAGTACAATGGTTTTACCAAATTACTGGTAGTCAAATATTTACTTTCAATCTAACATATTTATAATCTGACATGCTTTATATTTAAGTTTATAGAATATTGCATTATTTACTTAGAAAACATTTCAGTCAAATATATTACACATTATTGAAAGAATGACTTAGTTTGTGATAAGTAATTAGTTTTAGTCCTGCTGTGTTTAGATTCAAATGATTTCATAATAAGCAAACAATTTTCATTGATGTTTTTTCTGATAGATGTTTTTTAGAGTTAGTCACAAATAGTATTTAGTACTGCACATTTCTTTCCTTTCAAAAGCAACTATTTTTGGAAATAATTTTTCCCAATGAGTTGTCAGTTTTGAAAAGTTCAAAGAAAAATAACTTGCTAGATAATTTGTCAATAAAAAATAAAGACAACAGTGTGTAATTGTGATTAAATATTTTTTTCATCAAAATTTGAGCTCATGTGAATTTTTTTTCTCAATCAGATGCCTGCATGAAAAGTAATGAATAATATAGATAAGACTAGCCTGGGTTACAATATGTCAATTTGTATATTGATTTAGTTTAAATTAGAATAAAATTGCACTGCTGAAAATTTATCTTCTTTCACTATCTATGAATTTGTAGCCTTCTGCTGTTACATTGTTTGTTCCTACCAAGGTAAAATCTTTGTTTTATTTCAGATTCCATCGTTGTATAAAACACCAACACCGGTACAAAACCCTCCTCCCCCTCCCAGTATTGGATCTAGAATGTCCAGGTAATGTCAGGGTCAGCTATACATAGATTTCAACTTTCATTTTCTACTTTCTCTTTGTAGTATCAGGACCCTGCTCCTATCTGCATGTTCTGCTTTGGGAATACTTAAAAATCAACTTCTCTCTGGTGTTGGTTGTAAATTAACATTTCCAAATATAGATTTTTTTCTAAAAAATAGTGAAAAAAAATAAAGAACTGAAAAGGAGGAGGGTTTTGGTGCTACAATATGTAACTTTTTTTCTAAACCTGAAGATTTTGGTTGTAATTTGAAATAATATAATATATATACACTGGTATAAATAAAGTGAAACAGTTTTGGTTGATGCTTATTTTCAAAGCACTTTTTCATTGTCATTATCACGGTATGGGAGCGACACCCAATATTGGTATTGAAGCGGAGAGAGGTTTTAAAATGCGAGCTGCCATACATATCATTACATAAGTTGCCGTACACTATGATCATGTTTATTTATACTGGGTCATAATTGAATAAAAGGAAGAAATATCTAATCTTTAGAAGCATTAAACAGGTTTCTTTTTTATCTAAAGTAATTGGTGCCTTTTTTTTCCCAGTACTAGATGGTAGATTTTTTTTACCTCAAGTTTTAATTTATGCTGATGTCTAACATTCCTGAATGATTTGGAGAACAGGTCAATTCCCAACATGTCATTATACAAATCTTTAGACACATGCAATAATTACAAATGCATAAAAAAATTGGAATTCTTACTTATGATTACAAAATTTTAGGACTTCTCTCTGCTTCCTTTAGTACCAATATCTGGTGCCGCTCCCATACAGTGATTATACACATTTGAATTGCTATATACTGTAGCTATTGGAAATGGTTTACTGGTATATATATAGCATTATGTAGACTTAGTGTCATTTGAGTCATTGACATTATAACTTCTTACTATGTTTCCAGCATTCATTTAAGTTGTTCATTTAACATATGGTTGTATGGAAATCTTGCTTAATTACTGAAATATGCACTTATCTTACAAACGGCTTAAATAGTCTTTTAACTGTATTTATGCAGAGTTGGTAATAATTTTTTTTGTTATTCTTTTCATGATGTCAGGCAAAATTAGTTTGAAATTGCTTTTATGATTTGTAACTTACTGAATTGAAAATGTTAATGGTTTTTATTGCATGATACCTATGTTGACATAAATAAAGCAATGTGTCTCTTCAATTGAATTTACAATATTTACAACATTATTTTACTGCTTTTTAATTGTTATAAAAGGGTTCATTTATGTGGATATTATTGTTATATCATTGTATTATTATAGCCGAGAACTGCGCTTACCCTCTATAACCCCAACGGGGGCACCTTTGCTCCCCCGGGATACAACAATAGGATTCCAGGTTGACAGAGTGAAGAAGGCAGAGTTTGGGGAAGGGAAAGTTAGAGTTACAGCATATTATGCTTCCACTGGAAAGGTATTAAAATTAGATTAAATTCAAAATTAAATTCAAAAATAGTTTTTTCAAGAAGAATTGTTCAATAGTTTTTTGTGTATTTTGAGCATTTTATTATGCATCTATGGTGATATTCAGATTCAATATTTGATATAAAATTGATGCACTTGTCTAAACACTTAAAAATAATGCAGTTAACTAAACCACAATAATTTCTGCTAGTTTTATTCATGTGTGACTAATCTGTTATATATCATTGCTCTTTTTATGACCATAATGTACAGGGCATATGACATTTGCACCAATTTAAAAAAAATCTAAATTTTAATTATGCCTAAATAAAGTTTTCATTTGCACCAAAATATAAATTTTAATTTGCGCCATTTTAATTTGAACAGGTAAGATGAGATCAAATTTAGATAATTACCAATAGGTTGATCGAAAGTCAGCAGTTAAGTGGTGTTCAATGAGTATATATATGTTCATGTTATATGTCCATGTATAGACATACATGAAGATCTTATTAGTTTAAACACTGCTGATGAGATAAGATGGATTTTTTACACACCTAGACAAGCCAAGGAAATAATTATATAAATATATTTGATGTCAACTTATGTTTTTCATGACTTGTGATGGTTAACTTAGATATTTATGTGTTTTATTTTGCAGGTTGTACAATCATCCACTAGTCCTGTTACATGTAGTACTACAGCTGTTAAATCTAACTTTAAATATGGCTTCCATGTCTTTGGACAGCAGGAAGCTACCTTTAATAATGTAGATATGCAGGGGGATATGGTTTTAATCGCACGCTTTTATTTACGTAAACGACAAGATATTGTTACAGATGATATTATTTTACATGATCAACAACATGATGCCACACTTTATGATGAGGAAACACTTGTTGCATGGACTGCAGTTCCTTTAGTTATGTCTACAGAAGGTATACATATAATTATATGAATCTTATTCTACAAATGGTCAACAAGGGAAGAAATTTTGAATTTTGATGTTTTTTGTTCCCTTTACTGACCAGCAGGATGATTTAAGGGTCCATGGAAGACCATTGAAAAAATTGTGTAGGATTTTCTTTTAAAAGAACCTTTGTTGATCTCTCAATTGTTTAAAAGCTTGTGCTTTGAGCGAAAACCACTATTACACCAAAAATGTCCTTTTTATGAAAACTTGATAAAGGAGGTATGATAATAGTCATTGTTTATTAAATATAGCAATGGACACCATTCATAGCCATTTGTTATTTGGCAAGTGACATAACAGAAATCCCTCAATCCTTTCTAAATATTGTTATTTTATTTGTAAATGAATAGGATGATAAAGTGTGGTCATTAGAGAATAAATATTATTTATGATGTTTTTGTGATGTCGCAGTTCTAACATGTCATATTTAGCCAAAAGTGACCATTTGACATGTAGTTTGATAAATAGTTTTATATGTGTAATACACTTTCCGTGAAGCAATCACATTGCCATCTTTGTATTATACATAAATCCTAAAATAAAGTCATATTCAATTTGAGCAACACCCTTTTTGAAAACAATATTAGACTCACATCAACATCTAATGTCAAAATATCTTTATGGGGAAGTTGATTTCTATTTCTATATCTGCATTTTATTATTAACTGCAAAAGTCTGGAAAGTTCAAAAGATTAAGAAAATTGATGGCCTTAAGCAAATATATGTATTTTTATTCAGTAAATGTTATGTATTGCATATTTAAGATTTGTCTCTGAGAGCTAGAACCGATAGTCATAGGGTAAATGCTAGGTACTGAAAATTGCTGATTTGTCTCAAAGGATTAGAACTTAACAGTTTAAAGTGAATTTGAGGTTATAGATAAGTTAGAATTATCTCTTAATACCTCGAACTCATAGTTTATATATTTAATGTTTGATACTCTGTTTTAGATTTGTCTTTGAGAACCAGAAGGAATTTCAATCCAAATACAATGAACATAAATACAGGAACACACACCCTCAAGTTATTCTATCCACCAGTACCTGACAGTACTCAGATACCATTTGACAATAGACCTTACAAAAGTGATTGGACTCGGTATGGCAAAGCATCACTCAGGATCCACATTTTCCAAGGCCAGCCACGCCCAGGTTCATTGACCCCAAGTGAGGAGTCAGCAGAAGATGGAGAGGAAGTCTTACCTGAGGTAAGGAGGTCTCTTTATTTCTAATTAGGTATATTGCCTCGAAATGAAGCCTTGTCTGTGCTCATTAATGTGTCAGGGTCCCATCAAAGGGGAAAAAACATAATAAATTCATTGTGAAAATAACTTATCAAGTCATTTTGTGTCTGTACCAAGGCAGTCTATTAGGACCATGTGTTGTTCGTTGGTTTTGTCTTTGTGTGTATGCCTATTTTCCTCAAAGGAGTTGGGTATTTAAACTTTCTCACAATCATAACCATATAATGCCATTATGCACCTATTTTGTTTTTTTACCAAATTATTTTTATGGTTTCCCTTAGATAAAGCATGGACTTTGCCATTGCTTTTTTTTTGGGGTACCTATTTTTGTATCCACAACTCCTTCTAAACCCTTATTACTATTTATTGAAACTTTCTCAAAATCTTAACCCTAGAATTCTATTGTGCACCTAATACTTTGTTTTTTTTATCAGCATTAATTTCGGGCTTTCTTTTAGTAACTCATGGACTTTTAAAATACAAAGCTCTGATATATTTATGTTTAGAATTAATAGACTGTATTTAGTATTTTAATATATTAAATACATGTTCATTTTCCAGTTATCTCCCTTTTGATATATCTTTTTTTCTATCTACAAATGGCCAACCTTGAAACAAATACTGTGAACAGGAGGATCCTTCTTATGCATATGAACAAGTGGACATCTGTGAAAACAAGCAAATTTATTACAATATATATATGCCAGGGTTTCCGCTGGCGGTTGCCATTTTCGCATTTTGCGAAAAAATAAAAATTGTGGCGATTAAAATTCATTAATGGTGATAGAATTTGGCGAAAAAAATATAACGGTTTGATTTCTTCTTGTTTACTTTTATCAGGTTTCTCGCACTTTTCCCCTGAACAGACTATACTTGGAATTAACCTTGAACTCGTTATAATTTTGATAGAAAATCAATAATCAGCTGATTGCATTTCATAGCTATCGGCAACAATGGACTAATTAATAAAGGTGTTGATTGTATTGTTTAATAAAATGTTGTTAAATGGCTTCACATGTCACCTAAAGGATTAAGGAATAACTTTAATCGAAATAATTGTTTTGAAGTGGGTACTTCTCAATCGTTTAAGCCACGCACGTGTTTGAAGCATAGTTTTATGTTTCCTCATTTTCTTTTAATGATGGTCCAAAAAAGAGAACTGCTGACATGACGAAAAATGTTCAAAAGTAAGCAAAACCTCTGAGTCTCTGACTGTAAACTTGTTACTTCAAATTTTAAAAATTGATAGATGCGTAATTGACAAACTGAATTTTTTTTTGTTAGATAGAAGAAAAATTTTAAACGAAAAATATATTTATGTTAGTTGGCAAAAAGAAAATTGGAAGTGCCGAAAAATATATTGTTTTGGCGAAAGAGGTGGTGAATAAGATAATTGACCCAGGGGAACCCTGATATACTGTATAAATTGATTGATAAAAATACCAGGATAGTACGCAAAATTAAAAAATATTCTATGGTTATCTTTAGATATCCTTGAAAATTTCAAAAGCTTCTTATAATTAGTATATGCATCTGAATTTCCATATTGTAGTAATGTTTAACATTTGATTGAATGATTGGTTAATTGTTGCTTGCTAAATGTCCAGTGCCAAATAACCATGCTTACACCAGGCAATAATCTATTATTAAGAACTTATACAATAGAGACTTTCCTCAAGGTTTACTGGCAAGGATGAAAGAAATCTAGGGATGAACATATTTCTTTATTTAAGTCATTTCTTGGGGTGTTCAACATTTTCGATGTTTTCATATTTATATAGTATTCATTTATATTAGTTGAATTACATATTGTGATTACTGTATACCATCACTTTTACTTCATTGCACAACCAGCCATTGTAGACAGTAGGAATTGAGTTAATTGCAACATAAATAACAAGTAAGATAAGATAATGTTACAACTTTTTATACGACCGCAAAAATTAAAAAATTTTTGGTCGTATATTGGTATCACGTTGTCATCGTCGTCGTCGTTCAGCGTCGTCAGCGTCTTCCAAAGACAGATGGTTTCCGGATGATAACTTGAGTATAAGTAAATAGAAATCAATAGAATTTTAACACAAGGTTTATAACCACTAAAGGAAAGTTGGGATTAATTTGGGGGTTATGGTCCCAACTGTTTAGGAATTAGGGACCAAAAAAGGGGCCCAAATAAGCATTTTTGTAGTTTCCAGACAATAACTTGTGTTAAAGTGTATGAATCTCTCTGAAATTATACCACAAACTTCTATACAACAAAGGGATGGTTAGGATTGACTTTGGGGGGTTATGGCTCAAACCATTTAGTAATTAGGGGCAAAAAAAGGGGAAAAACAAGGGTTTTTTCTGGTTAAAGGACAATTGAGACAATTTAAAAGCAGTGTAAGGGAGGTAATCCAATTCAAATTAAAGAACACTGTTTGATTACCTCCCTTACACTGCTTGTAAATTATGTACATTTGTATTAAGAAATGATGATTGTCTTGAGGTGATTAGCTGTCAATTTATTTTTATACGACCGCAAAAAAATTTTGTGGTCGTATATTGGTATGACGTTGGCGTCGTCGTCGTCCGGCGTCGTCGTCCGAATACATATTGGTTTTCGCACTCTAACTTTAGTTTAAGTGAATGGATCTTTTTGAAATTTGACCATAAGGTTAAATACCACAAAAGGAAGGTTGGGATTGATTTTGGGGGTTATGGTACCAACAGTTAAGGAATTAGGGGCCAAAAAGGGGCCAAAAATAAGCTTTTTCTAGTTTCCAGACAATAACTGTGGAACGGTGTATGGATCTCTCTGAAATTATACTACAAGTTTCCATACCAGAAAGGGATGGTTAGGATTTGCTTTGGGGGGTTATGGCTCAAACCGTTTAGGAATTAGGGGCAAAAAAGGGGGAAAAACAAGGTTGTCCTGGTTAATGGACAAATACTTTAGTACAAAACATAATTTAAAGCAGTGTAAGGGAGATAAATCAAATACATCATTGAAATTATCTCCCTTACACTGCTTTTAAATTATGTATAAAGTAATGGTTAATGAACAATAAAGATAATCTAAAACAGTGTAAGGGAGGTAATCCAAATACAACGTTTTGGTTACTTCCCTTACACTGCTTTTAAATTATGTTTAAAGAAATGCATATTTATAAAGGAAGACCAGTAAAAATATCCATATGAAAGATTTGACACTATATTTTTATTAATTCTATTATAAAATAGATTAAGTTAGCACTATGGTAAATTCAAATGGGTAATTATGGTTGCCAACTCCATTGGAAATTTGAATTGAGATTATGACCATATCTTGAGGGAAAGAATTTTTTTGGGGGAAAAAGGGGGGGGGGGGATAAAAAGAAATTGTGGGGGGCCAATTTTTTCTCATTTCAGATTTAAGAAATTAAAAAGAATTATTCTTCAAATATTATTTTTTTTTCAAATTTCAAATATTGAAAAATTTCAAGAAGTAATCTTTAATTGCACAGTATGGCGCATTAGATTTGTTAAATCTTTGATCACATTTATTTATTTGTTATGCCGAATCTAACAGTGTATTTAGATTTTTAATTTTGGGTCCAGTTTTCAAATTGGTCTACATTAATGTCCAAAGGGTCCAAAATTAAACTTTGTTTGATTTTAGCAAAAATTGAATATATGAGGTTCTTTGATATGCTGAATCTAAACATGTATTTAGATTTTTGATTTTTGGCCCAGTTTTCAAGTTGGTCCAAATTGGGGTCCAAAATTTAACTTTGTTTGATTTCAACAAAAATTGAATATATGGGGTTCTTTGATATGCTGAATCTAACCATGTATTTAGATTTTTTATTTGTGGACCCCGTTATCTAATTGGTTCATATTGAGGTCGAAAGGGTCCAAAATTAAACTTTGTTTAATTTCATCTAAAATTGAATTATTGGGGTTCTTTGATATTCCAAATCTAACCGTGTATTTAGGTTTTTAATTTTGGGTCCTGTTTTTTAAATTGGTCTACATTGAGGTCCAAAGGGTCCAAATTAAACTTAGTTTGATTTTAACAAAAATTGAATTCTTGGGGTTCTTTGATTTGCTGAATCTAAACATGTGTTTAGATTTTTGATTATGGGCCCAGTTTTCAAGTTGGTCCAAGATAGGGTCCAGTATTTAAACTTTGTTTGATTTCAACAAAAATTGAATATATGGGGTTCTTTGAAGTGCTGAATCTAAACATGTATTTAGATTTTTGATTATGGGCCCAGTTTTCAAGTTGGTCCAAATTGGGGTCCAAAATTAAACTTTGTTTGATTTCAACAAAAATTGAATATATGAGGTTCTTTGATATGCTGAATCTAACCATGTATTTAGATTTTTTATTTGTAGGCCCCGCTATCAAATTGGTTCATATTGAGGTCAAAAGGGTCCAAAATTAAACTTTGTTTGATTTCATCGAAAATTGAATTATTGGGGTTCTTTGATATGCCAAATCTAACCGTGTTTTTAGATTTTTAATTTGGGTCCCGTTTTTTAAATTGGTCTTCATTGAGGTCCAAAGGGTCCAAAATTAAACTTAGTTTGATTTTAACAAAAATTGAATTCTTGGGGTTCTTTGATATGCTGAATCTAAACATGTGTTTAGATTTTTGATTATGGGCCCAGTTTTCAAGTTTGTCCAAGTTGGGGTCCAAAATTAAACTTTGTTTGATTTCAACAAAAATTGAATATATGAGGTTCTTTGATATGCTGAATCTAACCATGAATTTAGATTTTTTATTTGTGGGCGCCGCTATCAAATTGGTTCATATTGAGGTCAAAAGGGTCCAAAATTAAACTTTGTTTGATTTCATCAAAAATTGAATTATTGGGGTTCTTTGATATGCCAAATCTAACCGTGTTTTTAGATTTTTAATTTGGGTCCCGTTTTTTAAATTGGTCTTCATTGAGGTCCAAAGGGTCCAAAATTAAACTTAGTTTGATTTTAACAAAAA